TGGTGTACATGTAATCGTTTCATATTCAATGAGTCATAAATATAAATCATTTTAGTATCGTAATAACTGCAAACCCAATGACCGTCTAAATTAGTCGCTATATCGCTGCAGCTATGCAATATTTGAATATGTTTTTGATTTTTATGAACAGGTTCAATTCTATCAGGACATTGAATTTTCCATGGTTCGCGTGGTTGATATTCTGAGCAACTTTTCAATAATAAACCGAAATACTCAATATGAATATCTTCTAACCATTCACCTCTAAGAATAATCTGTATATACTGCATGCTTAGAGGTAAAATATTTGCAACAAGATTTGTATATTTGTGTTCGTTTATTTTTGTTATGCAAGAACTGACATCGGACAACGTATTTTCCTGAATACATGTATTGTTTTTTATATTATTTTGCGTTTTGTCTGAAGAAATATGCAGTTATGAAAAGAAATTCTTAAAAGTGTCATGAATAGAATGTTCCACATCATTACATTCATTTACAATATTATTATTTTTATTTATTATATTGTAATGATCAAATGGATCTTTATCATGTTTCTTTGCTACTTGCTCCATTGTCATTTCAGTTATATTATTTTTTAATTTTATTAAATCTACAGAGCTTTCTTGTTCAGCTTTCTTTTGTCGATGTTCTCGTTTTTTTCTAGCTAAGGCTTCCCTTTTTTGTATTTCATCCAAACTAAATAATTTTTTTGGATCATTAGGTCTTATAATTCGAGGAAAATGTTCTATTTTTTCTAATTGAAACATATGTGCCAAATGTTGACGTATTAAAGTATGGTCATACATAACTGCATCTGGTCGAAGGCCAAATAAAAGTGATGTAGCAAATGCAATTGCAAAGACACCGCAATCATTAGCATTACATTGATTTTGAACTGATGGAAATCGTATTAATTTTTTATCAAAAAGATAAAATGGATACAACTTGTCAAGATATATCTTATGATATGCATGCAAGTGTTTTAAATTCAATGAATCGTAAATATAAATAGCTTTTGTACCATAATAGCTACAAACCCAATGCCCATTTTTATTAGTAATCATATCGCTACAACTATATAATATTTGAATATGTTTCTGGTCTTTACGA